GACTTACTACCCAAAACATTTTGGGATTCCATTAACTTCATAGGAACAGTAAGCAAATTCTGAGAATTAACCAACATGCCCTGCACATCCTTATTAGCATTTAGTTCCCCCACCAAAGGAACCACATCATAACCATTACTCTGATTCCGATCAGCGTAAACTCCCTGTTCCAACCCAACACCCTCGGTAGGAACCAACTCTTGCATAACAACATTAGAAACCAACCTCACATTGGTATCCGGCACCAGATTGATACCCTCATTCATAAAATTATTTTTTAATTTATTTACATAGTAAATACATCTAAATAAAATTTTAAAACCAATAATATAAATAAATAAATTTGAATGTTAACCTAATCAATTATGTACAAAAACATATTTATTTATTATTTAATAGTCTTAAAATTTTTTTATTATTATTTAATAAATGACCCACAATAGCACTCATATAATGATAATTCAGACTTCTACATTAAAAAAATGAAATATATTACCGTAGACAGTTGTTTTTTTGGTCAACTGATATGCCTATAACCTAAATGGACAGTTGTAATTATCTTTAAAAAATCATTTATAAATATTTAATAATAAATAAATTAATGAATAAATTATATACTGAATTCATCTAATAAATATAATTTATGTCATAATATTCATGCATCAAATAAAATAATATAATTTTTATTCCATTTTGATATAATTTATATGAATATTTTTGTGTAATTATTTAAATAAAGTTGGTTATACTTATACCCAACAATTTTCGAAATTTTCTAAGATGTTTCCGCGTTGACCCCAACTTAGTAATCGTTAATGGTCCGCACATTATTGCCAGCGAACCAAAGAAAGTGACAAACGGACCAATTAGCCATCCACCGTTCACGCTCCCGAATTACACGAACGCCTTCTTAACCTCCTCTTTCTCCTCCGTTCCTCTTCCCCCATTCGACCTCCCCTCCCGTCTGCTGCAATGCGGGAGGTCCAAATGAACAAATAAAAAAACAAAATTTTGCACAATGCGAATGCGAGAAAGAATAATGGATGCCCGCCTAATGTTCTTGGCAGCTTTGATGTTTTTCATTGCTGCCTCGACGGCGTCTGAGCAAACCCCACCATCCTCCATCTCCCGATTCGCTCCGGCCGACAACTTCCTCATCGACTGTGGCGCCACCGCTCCCATCGCCATGCCTGACGGTCGCTCTTTCAAGACGGACCTCCAATCCTCCCCCTTCCTATCCTCGGCCGATCAACTCATTGCCTCCATCCCCTCCGCCTCCAACATCCCCTCCCCTCTATACCTCTCCGCCCGCATCTTCCGCAACGCCGCCACCTACGTCTTCCAGCTCTCCCGCCCTGGCTGGCATTGGATCCGCCTCCACTTTCTCCCTATTTCCTCCTCCGATTTCGACCTCACCCGCGCCGTTTTCTCCGTCACCGCCAACGACTACGTGCTCCTCCACAGCTTCAACATCGATGAAGCTTCGAAGTGGGTTCTGAAGGAGTTCCTCATCAACGCCACAAAAGATCGTTTATCAATCCATTTCTACCCAATGCGGAACTCCGCTGCCTTCATAAACGCCATCGAGGTCGTCTCTGCCCCCGATCTCCTCTTCACAGACTCCGCTTCGTCACTCTACCCGATCGGTGAGCTCACCGGTCTCTCCGACTACGCGTACCACACAGTATACCGCCTCAACGTCGGTGGCTCCACCCTCACCTCTGCTAATGACACTCTCAACCGCCTATGGTCCCCTGACCGCGATTACCTTTTTTCGAAATCTACAGCAAATGCTATCTCCGTTGAGGCCAAGGTCGTAGAGTACCCTGACGGCGGATCACCGCTCATCGCTCCTCCTGCCGTTTACGCCTCAGCCGTTCACATGGCCGATGCTCGCGTGGGAAGTCCCAACTTCAACGTGACATGGCAGCTCAACGTCGATTCCTCCTTTAGCTACCTCGTTCGCCTCCACTTCTGCGACATAATCAGCAAGTCTCTTAACGATCTTTACTTCAACGTTTACATCAATGGCTTCGCTGCCATCTCTGGCCTCGATCTCTCCACCCTCTCAGGCGGGCAGCTTGCCACCGCTTACTACAAGGACATTGTCATGAACGCCTCTGTCGCCTCCGACCGGATCACAATCCAGATTGGACCTATGGAGGAGGAAACCGGTACCACCGACTCCATTCTGAACGGCATTGAGGTTTTCAAGATGAGCAACTCGGTCGGAAGCCTAGACGGGGAGTTCGGCGTGGACGGCTCCAAGGGTGGCGACGACAGCGGTTTGTCGAATCGGAAGGCTGTTGTGGCGGTGGGATTCGCGATGATGTTCGGAGCCTTCGCCGGGCTTGGCGCTATGGTGGTAAAGTGGTATAAGCGGCCTCAGGACTGGAGGAAGCGCAATAGCTTTTCTTCGTGGTTGATCCCCATTTACGCTGGTCATTCAAGCTTCTTGAGTAGTAAGGGAGGCGGTACAGGCTTTGGCTCCAAGAACGGTTACACCTTTTCATCGAACCTCGGCTTGGGCCGCAACTTCTCGCTTGCTGAGCTTCGAGAGGCAACAAAGAACTGGGCCGCCAACGCCATCATTGGTGTTGGCGGCTTCGGCAACGTATACATAGGAGAGCTTGATAACGGAACAAAGGTCGCAGTCAAGCGAGGAAACTCCCACTCCGATCAGGGTATTACAGAGTTTCATACAGAGATCCAGATGCTTTCCAAGCTCCGCCACCGCCATCTCGTTTCACTCATCGGCTATTGCGATGAGAACTCAGAGATGATTCTTGTATACGAGTACATGGCTAACGGACCCTTCCGTGACCACATCTACGGTAAGAACCTTCAACCGCTGACATGGAAGCAGAGACTTGAGATCTGCATCGGGGCAGCACGAGGCTTACACTACCTCCACACCGGAACCGCACAGGGGATAATCCACCGCGACGTTAAGACAACTAATATCCTCCTTGACGAGAATTTTGTCGCCAAGGTGTCGGATTTCGGGCTGTCAAAAGACGCGCCGGGAAACCAGACCCACGTGAGCACGGCGGTGAAGGGAAGTTTCGGGTACCTTGACCCGGAATATTTTCGCCGGCAACAGCTCACGGAAAAGTCCGACGTGTATTCCTTCGGCGTGGTGTTGCTGGAGACAATATGCGCTCGGCCTGCGTTGGACCCGGCGCTGCCGCGAGAGCAGGTGAACCTTGCGGAATGGGGGATGCAGTGGAAGCGAAAGGGATTGATAGAAAAGATCATTGACCCCCATCTCCTCGGCACCATTAACAATGACTCGCTGAATAAGTACGTCGAGGCGGCTGAGAAATGCTTGGCAGAGCATGGAGTCGACCGTCCGTCCATGGGCGATGTGCTTTGGAACCTGGAGTACGCAATGCAGCTGCAAGAAGCTAATCCGCCGGCGCCGGCCGGTACTTCTGAACCTATTACGTTGAATGTGGAGGAGAAGGTGAAGGGGAATGACGAGGAGGAAGGGAAGAAGAAAAAAAATGAGTTTTCTCCTCCAGTTGAGGTGGTTGTAGCGCCGGCGGTGAGCGATGACTCTAGCACGGCGGTGGCGAATGAGTTATTTGCTCAGCTCGTGGGAATGAAGGGCAGGTGATGGCAGGGGACAAACAATGGTTAAATCAACGGTCGATGTTGGCGGAGCGGCCGATGATGCGGTGGTTTTCTGGTTCTTTCGGCAGCAGGTCGACGTATTATTTTGTGTCGTGCGTTTTGTGTTTTTTAAATTTTAAATTTTTTTTAAGTTGAGCGTTGGGGAAATGGCTATAATCGAAACGGCCGATTATCAGTTATCATCGTAAATAATGATTTTATGAATATATGATATATTCTTTATGTTTTTTAATGTAGTTTAATGAATGAATATATTTTAGATCATTCTTCAAGGAAAGAAACTGTATCAGCTTATTCAGATATATTATTGAAATTTTTTAAATAATAGAATAATTCATTAATATAAAAAATATCATGATAGACTTAAACAATATTATTTTTATTTTTATACTGGTGCAGCATAAATTTTTAGACTATATTTTAGGGTTTTTTTTTTTGTGCTATTTTTCCTAGTTATTTAGAAAGAATTTTTTGCATTAAAATTTATTTTTAAAAACAATAAAAATTATCACGAGGTCTTGGAGAAATATTAAATTTATTTTGATAACTGTGTAATATCAAAATAAATATAATTATGTTTAAGCTCATCATTATATAATATATGTCATGATAATCCAACTTTTTTTCCGTTCGCCATTTGCTATGCTCTCATTGAAAACTATCTAAAAGTTGTACCATTATTCTATATTTGAAAGGCTGTTTGGGTTACTTAGGTTTCGTTTAAGATGACTTTTTTACTATTTTTTAAGGAAGTTTTTAGTGTAAAAATTAATAATAAAACAAAGATTATAAAATATAAAATTATAATTTTTAAATTACATTAAATATAAGTATATCAATGAAAAGAATTATAATAATGATTATTTATATCAACCTCAATTCCATTACATTGAATTGAATATAATTATTACAATAAAATAGTATAACTTGTTAACAAATGACACATTATAAAATAATGTTATAATTATCAATTGGATTGAATTTAATAGAATTGTTATTTGAGCTTCGAACAAACTTTGGGTGTTTAGGTCAATTAAAGAAAAACTCACACACATCACACACGAAAATTTAAATCTAAGAGTTCTTGGTTAGTTGTCACAGCTCCCAACCAATAAATCAAGGTGAGCTGTGTATTATTAATGAGGCTATCAACAAACACCAAGTTATCCACAATAATCAACTTAATATGCAATTTCTTAATTTAATATCCAACTAAAATAAAATTTGATGCAACATCAACAAAAATAGTGACTAAATATCCAAAAATTATCATAATTCAATGTACTAAACATGTTCATCCTATTATCCAATGTGATTTTGCTTGCTCATCTAACTCAATTGGGAAGGTACCTAAAGAATTATTGCCTTCTTGACTCTTTTAGTGAACTACATTATGATATGCATGCTTCATCTTAGTTGGCTTATTTTGAGCATTTTGTTATAAATCATATGTTTTTTTTTCTAATTGTTATATGTATTTATTATTATCGATGTTTTTTGTCTGTGTTACTCTCATCAAATATTTGTAATTTTAGTCATCAATGAAATATATAATATCAGCACAACACAAGCAAATTTGCTAAATGTTGATGATTGGTGGGGGAAAAATGTGTCGCCACGCAAATTTTGATGTTATCCTATTTTGTAATCGAATACTGCATTGAGAATAAAGTACAGTCTTAGGAGACTGACACAATATTCTTCAATGGATTCAATATCAAAATAAGATTTTAGAAAATGATATTTCTATGATCAAACACGATTCAAAGAATAACATATCATCTCGAAAGATGAACATGAAATTTTATAGAATGTGTTTAAAAATAGAAATAATTTTTTTAAAAAATTATCCATTCTTTTATTTAGATATAAGAATGAAAATATTATATCATCTTGAATGACAAATATAATATTCTTCAAGATATCCAAAATCAAGAATGGGTTTTATAAAAATTCATCATTTCTAAAATTGAATATAAGTAGCTGCATATTATATTTAAAATTGGAAATGAAGTTTTAAAGTCATCTACGTTTCCAAAGATTTTTACCTTATTTTATATAAATAAAATAAGATTTATTTTAGTTTGGGTTCTCAAATCCCTATAGATTAATTACATCCTAGGAAGGATACTCCTAAGAAAACTCTCGATTAAAGCTGTGATTTCGTACCCTTTGACTACAAAGTAAAAGACAAGGAACGTAAGTAAGTATTTTCCAAGCTGAAAGCTCAGTGTTGAACATTTATTAGTGAGTCAAAGGAGAAAAAGTAGAATGTGTCGTATCCTGAGAAGCTCATAGGCGACCTCAGTCTATCCTATGTTGGGCTTTATATTTTAAGAGAGAAATTTTATATTTAAATTGACATTTTATTAAAAAAATTGGGACTATATTCCCGGAGGGAGATGACTTAAGATTTTAAAAGGAATCTGCCTTAGAACCTAAATCTAATTTAGGTACTACGAAGTAGTGACCCGAACCTAACTAATGAAGTGCAAATCTGGACTTACCCCGGCCTGGATTGGGGAGCCAGCTAACCACCTAGGCATTTTAAAACCATGTGTCTAATCTCTTTATGAAAGATGGGTAGAGACGTTACTTAAATTTTAAGGAATTGGGGGCCGACAACTAAGACAAATCTTAATTGGCCCTTCAACTTATGTAAGATGAATAATGCCTAGAAATAAAATGCAATTAATATTTTAGACACCTTTTTAATTTGTATATAATGCAATGCATGCTAATTGACTCGGATGCAGAAAATGAATATGAAACTATTTTAAAATTAGGCTTAGAAAATAAGTTTTTCACTAGAGATTACACAACATCCCCTTGACAGAACTGCACCCTTATAGGTCAAGTGGTCTACCAGAACCCGCAGGCGGGGAGGTGCCTAACAAGGAAGAGAAAGTAATAATATGCCTATGCTGACTCTCGACGGTCCGAGCTTACTTCTTAAATCGTTAGAGTTACTATGTGAGCCTAAAAATTTTATTATGATTTCAAGTATAAGAATTTTGTATGTATCCTTACAAAAAAAAAAACACTCCGATCGTATCCAGACTAAAACAAAACACGGCATGCAAGGGCCCTAAAAAAAGCCACTACACAAACAAAATAAACAATCAAATTAAATTATCCAAAAATATAATGTCTAATGTCCAATGTCCATATAATTACACCTAGCATTTGCAGAAAAGTAAAGTGGGCGGGCACCACTGACAACAAACCCGGATTCTAATCCTAAAAATGACGCAAGTGATTTTGAATTGGGATATACTCTTTCTTGTGTCTTCATTTCTTCGTCTTATTTATTCTCTCTTCATTTCGTCTTTTCTTATTCTAAGAGCTCATTGATCCGTCGGGTCTGGATATCCAAATGAAAAAGAAACTCATCCCCAAAGGGTATTTTCTTTTCCCTTTGGATATTACAAATCGTCCTAACCTAGCTTTCTAAATAAAAGGGAACATTCTCCTAAGGGTTGTTCTCTTTTCTTTGGATTCTAGGTTGTTTGTCATATCCCATTTTCTCAAATCACTTTCACAATTCTTTATTTTAATAGATTACATTTACATTTACATTGACATCATAGAAACAAAAAGAAAATCTAGATCACCTACAGAGTTATCCTAAGCAGTTTATAATAAAAAAATCTTTCCAAGCAGTTATATGCATATTCACATTAAATTTCATCAGTCATACTTGGCCTCACTCCTTTTTATTTGGGGGCTAAGCTGTTGAAACACCTGTAGCATTTATATAATTATTAATTAATTAGCCCCCTTTTTACTGTCCTGCACAAGTGTGACCACCTGCAAAAAATCTTGTTAACAACCAGATCGCTCCTAACCTATAGGTAATCTAATCGTCAATCAAATCATATCACAGAGTACAGTAAAAGTAAGTAAACAAACACACCAACAATTTTACAACCAACACGCAATGAAAACTGAGAAAGCTCGTTATACAACAGCAAGAAAATAAACACCGGCCTAACCTAAAGCTAAAGTCGGTTGTCCTAGCAAACAAGTCTAAGTGTATGTAGTAAGCTGTATGGTTTGGATATGTCCTATGTCAATTATTGGTTGAAGTTTTCTATGTAATTGAATTTAGTTTGTTGAAAGGTCAAAGGAAGATTTTATGTTCAAGTTTAAGTTTTAGTGCCTTTATTATTTTTGGAATTCATTTTTAGGTTGAATTTTAATTGTTGAGATTGATTAACAAAATTTGTTCTTTAGTGCACTTTTAATCTTTTATATTATTTAAGTTAATTATTTACTAAATCTTTAATGATTTATTATATTTTAAATGATATATTAATTTTAAAATAATTTATTAAGTTATTAATGATTTATTAAAGTGTTAATATTTTATTGAATTTTTAAAGATTTTATTTAATATTTCGATGATTTATTAATTTTAAATAATTTATTGAATTTTAATTGATTTATTAAAAAGTTAATGATTTACTAAATTTTAAACATTTTATTTAATTTTTAATGATTTATTTGATTATAAGATGATTTAAAATATTAATTAAATCCAATTTTAGATTTATATTCAAACTTAATCTCTTAATGGCTGTGTATTAATTATGATTTAATTATTAAAAGTTGTGTAATTTTTGTATATTTTTATCTGAATTATCATTAGTGTATTTGAAATTTTTGTTTAATTGATTATTTAATTTTGATCATATTTAATTAAGGCTATATTAATAATATACATTAACCCTAAGGGGGATGTCACTAAGTTTTCTATGTTCTGTGTTTCTATCATAAAATGTTCATGCATCATAAGTCTAGGTTTTATAAGACTCGGTCCTTAATTTTTGTCCTTAAATGTCACTAATGTTGTATGTGATAAAAATTTTTGTTATCACTAACTCTTAGGACATTGCGCACATGTAAAAGGGTTCAGGAATATAAAATCAAATAAAAGTAAACCTAATAAAATTGAAGTTATTACAGGGACCTAAAGGAGAAGGGGCACAAACCACACCAAGGGTCCCTAAAGGTTTTCTAAGTTTTAGAATACTTACAGTCACCGGAGGCTACGACCCGATTGTTCCGCCCGTAGCACCTCCATCCGGTTGGATGGAGGAGACTGACGCCTTTAGTCCCTTGTCATTTTGTTTACTCATCCGGTACAATTCCTCGCAGTTCATGCCAATAAAGAAAAGAAAACAGTTATTAGAAGCACATTTAATAATTAATAATGAACTAATTGAAATTTACTAAAAGCAAAAAAGTACCTTTCTTCGGCTTGAACATCGGTTCAATTTCTTGCCTTTTGGAACCTTTACTTTTGAAAGCACAGTGTATATCTTTCCAACATTTACCCCGAGGCACAAGAAAGGGAGAGTAAGAGAGGGAAAGAGAGCTTTGCTTTCTTCACAATTCACCCAAACCAAATATTTT